AGGCGAGAGGCGAGACGACAGCGGCCACAGGTACCGGGCGAGGGTGCTGCGGGGAGTGCTGCTGGGGGAGGCGATGCTCGGTGTGTCTCTGTCTGCCCAAGCCTGCCAGCGAGGACTTGGATTTGTTGCCGCTAAGCTTAACTGCATTGCATAAACCATTCCTGTTTTAATTAAATGTCACTTTTAGAGGATCTTCTGGCGAGCGGTGAGCAAGTGTTGCTGGAGGCCCAGGCTGCTGCCCTGTCCAGCCCTCAGAAGCCAGGGGAGGATCTGGCGGCTATACCAAGGAAAGAGCTTAACCATGTTCAAAGTGGAGGAGTTGCCAGTGGAACTCCGGAGATGGAGCGGCTGCTCCCAAAGCAGGGTGCTACTGACTCCAGGGATCATCCAGCTGATATGCATGGCAGCCAGGCAGGTGAATTGAGACCCCAGACAGGACAGGCAAGTGATGGACAGTGTGTGAGGAACTTGGCAGGAGCCTCCGATGATGTTTGTAAGGACAGAAGTGAGGAGCAGCCGGATCAGCCAGCTGAGAGTAGGGACTTGGACCATGAAGAGTGGGAGGTTGTTTCTGAGCACCTGGCCTGGGGGGAGGCTGGCAAGAATGGCAGCGTGGAAGACTCGGACAGCAAGGAATGGGAACAAGGAGACTGCCCTGATGGGGACTTGAAAGCAAAGAGAGTTGCAGCTGTGCCCCCCATGTTTCAAAATAGCCACGTGACTTTCCGCGTACACTACATCACGCACTCTGACGCTCAGCTGATTGGTGTTACTGGTGACCACGAGTGTCTTGGCCAGTGGCACAGCTATGTTCCCCTCAAGTACGACAAGGATGGCTTCTGGTCGGAATCCATTAGTCTGCCAGTAGACACCAAAGTAGAGTGGAAATTTATCTTGGTAGAGAATGGGAAGGTCAGACGTTGGGAAGAATGCGGTAATAGGACCCTAGTGACTGAACCTGAAGATCAAATTGTTCATCAGTGGTGGGGATACCATTAATGGGATTTTGGAAGCTGCTTATCGAATGGCAAACCTGCTTAGATGAATCACAGAGCCCCTAAACTTTACCCCTCCTTCAGTAGGAGACCTTCTCAAGTGCAGAGCTCTGAAAATCCCATATCAAACCTGGTTAAACTGCGTGAGCAGCAGATCTCTGCCATACCCTTTAGGAAATCATTTGGCAACCTGAAAAATCAACTTCAAACGCGTTGTGAAGATGTGCAAGGTAGGCTATGAAGGCATGAGCAGCATTGCAAGCAGCTGCCTGTCCAGGTAAATCTGGACCCTGGACTTGAGTTTGCGTTGCTTTGAGTGGGGCTATGGGGTGCATCTTTGTACTGACTGCTTAGGGCTTTTGAAGCATACTAGAAAGTGTGGTTACCTTCACTGTAGTAGCAACTTCAGTGTTTTAACTTATGTTATGTATTGAGTAAGCAATAAACACTTTCAGACTGACAGTCCTTTACAACTTGACCAGTGAACTGACTGTTAATAACTTTGATACAAGTGAGTTACTTGACTCGAAATCTCCATACTGCAGAATTACTGAGAGCTGGCTGTAACAAAGGCATAACCCCCAAGTACTTCATTCCCTACTCCCTGCTCGCCAGGAAGCACCTCAGCTCAAATGAAGGCTTGGCAGGTAGGTCACATCATCCTGCTGAGAGGAGAGCAAAGGTCAGAAAGGACTGTCTGGGCTTAATGAATTACTTTGTCTGGGTAACCTAAAGATTCAGATTAGTAAGTTTAATTTCCTTCAAGAGACCTTTTATAGAAGAGAACAAGGTAGGAAATGTGGGTGGGAGCTGCACTCAAGACTGGCTGTAAGCTTTTTGTTAATGAAAAGCACCCCGGCAACTACTTCTGTGTGAGATGTACTACAGGTCTGGAAGGAATGTGGTATCAGTTCTGGCAACTGACTCAAAAGGGAGAGGATGGAGCTGACAATTCAGCGGGTGGTTGATGCTGCTTCAGTGGTCTTAGACACATGCACATGTGCACACACTAGTTCTCGGCGCTCTCAACAGGAAACTAATATGGGACTTAAGTAACTTAATACATGAACTTAAAAGGAAAAAAGGACATAGCTAGCATGCTGTGGGTTGAAAAAAAATGAACATGAGGCTTATTTCATTTTAGGGGCTACTGCTTCACTCTAACAAATATTTCTACTGCTTGATTAAGACTATGCTTACTGTGTATAAACAGAAAGCTCTTTAGTTCTGTCCATGTGTACCACCACTGACTACAGAAATCATTTGTGTGGGTTTCGGTCAGCAACTTACAGCTTTAACTGAATAGCTAAAATGGTGTTGGAACTAATGGCTTGATACCTTAACTGCATTTTTTTTTTGCACTTAGCTTTTCTAACAATAAATTTAAGTGAACAATATAGCTAATATACAGAGGTACAGTTGAAACAGAAGCCGATCTTCAGAAATCACTGTAGTCAAAGCAAAACAGGTTATTTCAAGCTGTGTACAATTCCTTTTCCCGTTAATGCGAGCTCTTCAAACAGTAAGATATTGTCAACTTAAAAAGCACTTGTCCAACAGCCACTGCAATTTGAGTGTGTTTATATATGCATACACTGGAGGCCTGTCAGAAAAGATTAACTGTGGTATTAGATTAAGATATTCACTAGAAAGCTACTTAACCTACACTAAAATAGATTCTCTAATGCAATGATGAACATGTTTCACACAGACTAACCCCGAGAAGTCTCTCAAATTGAGAACAGTTTTTTTTTTTTTAATTAAACACCCTACACTTTGGTCCCACAGATAATGCATATAGTCCTCATGATTGCATCATCTTCCTGAATGATCGAGCAAGGTTTCTACAAAGACCTGCACTGCACTTCAACTATAACCTCTAAATTATTATCCCTTTCACATCACTGCTTTCGCAGCAGGGCCTGTGCTATGTAAATTAAATGTTATCTGTATGGTAAAAGAAACAGCTCTGGATTTCAGTATTGGTGGAGGAGCTGGTTAGTATTTTCTCCAAGTTTACAGAGATGATTTCTCATTATTGAACAATTATTCACTCAAGCATGAAGGTAGGTTTAAACAAAGTTGCCTTGCTGCATAAAAATGGTTATGCTAGAATGGGCTGGTATCTGTCTAACACAATGTCCTGGCTGTGAGACTACTGAAGCTACGTGTGAGAAACAAGTTCTTGTTGACATTCCTACGTGGATGTAACAGCCTAGCAGCCCGTGGCTCAGAATATTAAAAAGCAAATAATAAAGCTGTCTCGCTCAAAGCTTGGCGAAGCCAGACAGACTGCAACCAAAGATCTACTGTTTAGGTTCACCTGCTCATACTGCTGACAACAAACTTCTGACAGATTAGACAATTTGATCACTTTTAGGTGAAATGCAATCTACTCCTATTTGTGAAGTAGTTTGGTGTACAAATGCTCAATGCTGCACCTGGACGGTAAGCTGTGCAGACAGCTTGAGGCTGGAATGGGTACTGGGCATAAACCAGTTTGAAGTCACATACAGAAACTCGCATTGCAAGTTGTTTGCTTCCTATTCACTTTGCAGGTGCCTTGGCACAAACCATGCCCATCCCACATTCGCTCTGGGAATTAATTAAACTTACTGTTTGGAGTCTCTCCACATGATCCATTCAAAAATATTAGACTGGCATTAGGTTTTCTCTCTAGGGGGTTGGTTGCCATCTGTGGTGTCCTGCTGTGGTCAAGATTTGCCTAACAGTCCTCCTGTCATCCACCTGTATGACACGGAATAACAAAGTGCTGTTTGTGCTGCAAAGTCCAGGATATATAGCTGCTCTAGGGCCCACGAGTCTATGACCCTTTCGCCTCCCCAGGCTCATTCTTTCCCTTCTGCTGGTGGCAGGCAGGAAGCCCAGACTTTTCCCAACTCTGCTGGATTCCAGCACAAGGATGTTAAGCTGCCTTTTTGTGTGGCAGATCTCCCTTCCCTCTGGCTATTTGTACCTCTCCACCTGCTCCCTTCCATTCTCACAGGGCTGCGGTCTTCTGAAACTCTTTTTAGCTTGGCTCCTTGCACAGAACTGAGAGTGTACTTTTCATGGACCTTTTCCAACCTGCTGGGCTATGGGGTGAATACATGCTCTCATTCTCTACACCTCACCCTTTTCTTACAAAAACTGTGGTCGATCTGTCAAATATGTGTAACAAGTCCAAACTGTGATACACAAGCCATCTAAAATGATCCTTTCATTGTCAATGCAACCGATTCCCAGGACAGTTTAATGTTTTGACTAAGCTTGCAACACTGTTGCAAAAAATGATAGAATCCGTGGAAAAAAATTATTAGGAAATATAGAAAGTTACCTGAACTAAATCAAAATACCGCTGACAATAACTGAGGACAGCTTAGGAACAACTCACTAATCTCTTCTTTCCACACAAGATGACCTCAAACTGAAAAAACCACAGAGGTTTGATCTACTCTGAATGTAGTTCTGTAGCTTTAAAGTCAACAAAACCAAGCTTGTATCTGCATTGCTTGTACTCATGAAGCTACTTTTGCTGAGCCGTAACTACAAATCATTTGGTTTGGCAAAATCACCAGGTAACCCCTTGAATTCAAGCACGGCATTCCATGCTGCCACAAATCCAAGGCAATGATTCCTTTTCAGAAAGCAGATAATGAGGAAAACGGCTAATGCTAGTGAACCTGCCCCACTGGTACCTCCTGCTGACCCTGGGGCTGGTTTACTTTTCTGTGCTTGGGTACTGATTTATTGCAGAGGGACATCTTGCTCCTTGTTTTGTTAGTACTGTTTATAGCAAGGACTCCCCTGCTTCTAGGCCAGCAGCTTCTGTGACCAACTTCTCAGACAGCCCTGCTAGACTCTGAAGGGGCAGCACTATTAATCTGCTCTTCACAAACAGGCCCCAGACAAAAATCAAATGGCAAATTCTGGAGAAGTACTCAATTTGGGATAAGTTCTTCCTCCCCTGTCTTTTTTTCAATGACTATCTTGTTCCCTGAGATATTTTCCAACACTAATGAGGCTTTAAACATCAATCTGATACTTTAGTGATCCTGTTCATCTTATTACTTCGGAATTGTTTTTAGCATCAGATAGTCTTTTCGCTCTCTTAAATGCAGTAAGTCATTTGCCCACTGCTGCAAAATCCTCAAATGTCAGAAGACATAGGAGGTTTTAAAATAAATTCATGTATGCCAGGTGTGCTCAACATGCCTTCCTGTTTATTACTAAATCTTACACTAGGAACGGCCTTTGAAAACATTCGTCTTAGGCACTCATATTAAGGGAAGGTTGTCTGTATCGGTGACTCAACTGAAGAGCATTTTGGAGACCAACTGAAAGTAACATGCCCAGCTATTTTAGCAAACTTCTTAACATGGGTGATGGAGCCTGGTATTTAAGTCATACTTAGAATGTTATAAGAAAACAAGTCAGCACAGATTAAAAAAGCATTTTTTTCTGCCTAAACTTCACCTATTTTCGTTTTTATAGAGGAACGCAGATTGAAGAAGGACAAGTAGTCCCAAACTAGGAACATACACACCCTCAGCTGTAAGTCAAAATACGAGTGCTATGCTTACAAAGCTAACCCCAAGGCAGACTGTGGACTCTCCATTTGTACTATGAATCAAGCCAAATATCCCAACAAGCAGTGAAAATTATATAAAAAAAATACCACTTGATGAGTCCATTCTGCTTAAAGGAATCACGGTATAGGATGAAACCTGTGCAGCCTTGCAGTTGTAGGTATGTGGTTCAACACTTGATCTCAACATTAACAGGAGCCACAGGCAGGTTTCCTGCTTTTATTGGAAATACTTGGCAGTTCTGGGACATCCAGATGAACCAGAATTTATTGAAGTAATAACATGAAGTATGGAGGGAAGGGAAACCAATTTATTTTAGAATGAAAAAAAAAAATGTCCCAAAACCACTTTAAAAACTAACTTTCTAAAAAACAGGACCTGACGTAGCGTGCAAGATCCAGAACACATGGAAGAAATACTGGAACTTGAAGCAGTCAGCAGTGCCCTGTGGCCAGTGTCTCTCACAGCACAAAGCTATTGAATACGTGCGCCCGTGAAAGAGTCTGTATTTAGATGTATTTCTACTCCTCTTGTACTTCCCACTCATTTAAAAGTAGAGTGTCATGGTTCCAGGCAAGAATTACAAAACCGTAAGAACTTTTATTATTAATCTTTAAAAATATATTTTAAACACAATGTACATATACATACGTGAAAGTAATCACTAATGTATACGGCGTCTTCACTTTGATAGCTTTTTCTCCTTTTGCTTTGCTTTCTCTATCTTCATTTCCTGAGTTCTGATCATTGATGACACGGCTAAAAACAGCAGCAAGAACGGATTATCTGCACACCCCCTTATGTTAAAATGATTGAGGCCTCAGGTGCGGACACCTGAAGCTTTGCAATATCCTCCCGCATGTTACACTGTACTGATCAAGCCCTTAT